TTCTTCCCTTTTCTTTGCGGGGTGGCAGGGGATACCCTTGTTTGGATAATGATTTCACAGAAAAATCTATTGAACATTCCTTGTTGCAGATGGAAGATCGGGCGTCAGTGCCTTTGGTTCTGGTTTGCTCGGCCCAGGAAATTCAACCTTTAAGGATGCATTTCTCAGAAAATGATTACTTCGGCTTCAACCCTGAAAAGGTTTGTAGTTACAGCATCACATGAAGAGTCTTTATAGTTTTGATTGGCACAGCATGGTAGTATTGTTAATCACATTAATTGTCAAAACATTGTAATAATGGTTACAATTCAGTACTCCATGGAAACAGTAATGCCCACTGCACAGGCATCAATGCTCAAATGAATTCAACATAAACTTTTCCTTTGAATGTTCAGCTATTAAAAATTCTATTAAATCTTGTTTTATATTGATAGTACAGGGTATGACGTTCTGATCCAAATTCAGTTTTGGTTCTTACGTTCTCTTTGATTCTCTCCACAGGTTTGGTTCTTAGAGGAAGAGAAACTTCCAGTTGTCAGCAACTCGGTTGAAGCAGAGAAGAAGCATAAGATTTTGATGAAATCACCTTGGGAAATACTTCAATCACCTGTTGGATCCGGAGGAATTTTCAGTTTGCTTTCATCAAACAATATTCCAGAGAGTCTTGGTGAAATGGGTGTGGAGTATATTGAGGTTAGAAAAACTTGTTGTATAGATTATATTTGAGCGGGCTCTCAAGTTAATACATATGAATGCTGTGACTGCTTGCATTGTTGATCATCACTTAAGCATATCTTCTTCTCTCACTCGATTGATTGCCTCTGCTTCTTCTTTCAGGTATGCAGCACAAATCCAGGATACGCCGGTGGGAACCCACTACTTCTTGGGTTTGTTAATTCGGGGAAATCTGATGTTGGGATCCAAATCTTCAAAGGCAGAAAGGACTTTGATGAAGGTTTTGACATTATATTCTCAACAAGCTTTATGAAGAAACTGATCAAACAGATCAATAAACTCCAGTTCTACGCTACTCCAAAGCAAAATTTACATGTTGAGTTGGTGGACAAAGAGTGGGTGGATGTTACTCCCAGCTCTGCCAACTCCTATGAGTTGGGTTGTACGATTTACAGCACTTTAAAGGCCTCCTCTTTTGATAAGCTTTGTATAATGGAGGTTACAGAGTAAACCTGCAACCAGTTGAATCTACGTTTTTCATTTTTATCTACCCAAAAGAGGGAAACGGAAAAGTGTATATGAGTCTTTGCAATATATATGGATAAAAATACGTTGTATTAGATAACTGTGCTGAAAAAATAGTAATCTCTTCATCATAACGTTGAAATTGCTAGCAAACAAAGAAGAAGTAATGAAGGTCCTTCAGGAAAGATCTTGGGTTCGAGTTCTAGCATCGTGTAATGTGTGTGAGTTTAGTATTATTATCGCCCCTCTTACTAAAAAATGTCCTTACAAAAAAAAAAAAAAAAAGGAACAAGTAACGAACTTTTATTGTGGAGTCAACAACAATGGTATGCTTATGAGTTGCGCGACTTTAGTTCACCATATATGTTGCAAATCAAAAAAATCTCAAAACCATAAACTGAAATAAATGGTGCAAAAATCTTACATTTTTTTTCCTGATAATAATCATACATAACGATTAGATCATACTATCTACTCCTATTTTAGATTTCAATGTTGAGTAGAAAGTGAATAATGGAAAAGGGTGTCCAAAGAAAAAACTAGTTTTAGTGAGTAAAATGAATGGCGTTCTTGGAAATATATGATCCAATTGGGTGTCCAAAGAAGGAGAAATAAGGGTGCCCAGAGAGAAATTGATTACTCCTCCACGACAGTTGGCTATGTCTAGTTTGCGAAGTCGAAAATGGAAATTTATTAGTGGGCCCTTTCAAGCCCAGCTCTTCTTTCTTTTGGTGGGAAGCCCAGCTCTTTTAAACGGGGTTATGTTAAGCCAGTAACCAAACAGACCCAATTCTAGACTACCCCAAATGACAAAACCCTAGTACCCCGAAAGCTCGCACTTGCCTATAAAAGCAGAGGCGCCAGTAGAAACTGGAGCTCGGCGGCTCAGCAAAAACCCTAAACTTCACTGTGAGCATCTATCTCTTTCTCTCCGCCTCTCTAGCCTAGGGTTTCACATCTGTTCTATTCGTTTTAATTATTACGATTGGTTTTAGCTAATGCAGTTCAATCTTCTTTCTTGGTTAAAAATTATTGCAGGAGGTAAGTGAAAATGGCGGTGCCGCTGCTGAATAAGGCTATCGTGAAGAAGAGGGTCAAGCAGTTCAAAAGGCCCCAAAGCGACCGCAAGGTCTCCGTCAAGGTATAAAACCTTCACATTTATCAGCTTCCAGTTCTACAACCTTCGTGTTCATTTTCCTTCCTTTTATTTCATTTTGTTTTCTGTTCGTGTTGGGTTATGTGGTGAAAATGATGATACTGTTGTCGCCCCAGTCTTACTTGCATCAACAGATGCAAGATGGTGATGGACGTATTCATATCTGATTCCATTGCAATATATCTATCACGAATTAATTTGTTGCCTTTTTTTTTTAGTGTAAAAGCAGTTTTTATTGGCAATTTCATTTTTTTAAAATTTGGTTTTGATGGATATGAGGATAACTTCTATGCCCTGTCTTACTTGCATCTTAAGATGCAATAGGGTGAATTAGTGATCGACTATCTGATCTGGTGTAGCAATGAAAGTTTTGATTTTGCCACTCTGAAAGTTTTGATCCCAGTCTTGTTTTCTCTGTATCCTGAACATTTATCGTTCTCCATGTTAAAACAAAAGGTTTTTATTGTTTGGGGATATGCAACAAGAAGTGATGATTTGTACCCATCTATTCTGCTTTTGAATGATGAATATTTACATGCACTACCATCTGATCTATGTTGCACACCCCATTTTCTATTACTACTTTAATAGTTCCTTTTGTTTTCTTATGATTAATGTCTCTGCTTTTGTTTCTTGTTTTAAGAGTAATCCTGCAATCTATGATGTAAAATATTTAACGTTTATGACATCTTGTGATTATTAAGTTAAAATCACCATCTTTCGACTGAGATTGCAGTTTGTACATTTTGTTTTAGTCACAGTTGTGATTGCTCTTCCTTTTTGTCTGTTATATTTTTTTTTTTGGTGTCATTGCCCATGGTATCTGATGTCCAGATTTATATTTGTGGCTGGACATTTCGTTAAACAGGGCATATATAAAAGCTTTACAGGTCTTGCGACACAGTTAGCTTCGTTACTCATCAGCTTTCTGTTACCATAACCCTGCAAACATCCACTTTGTCCTACGAAGTTTATTAGTCGGTCCTTTTCATTTCCTTGGTTGTAATTGCTTTGAGTAATTTTGTTTCATCATGTGTTTCGTTGACAGACCAATTGGAGGAGACCAAAGGGTATTGATTCTCGTGTAAGAAGAAAGTTCAAGGGATGCACTTTGATGCCCAACATTGGTTATGGCTCTGACAAGAAGACTCGCCATTATCTTCCTAATCATTTCAAGAAGTTTGTTGTGCACAACGCGAAGGACCTTGAACTGTTGATGATGCACAACAGGTAAACTGAGCCCTGTTCTTTTTTTTTCCTTATGGTCTGAGTTAGTGTTTCACATCTCATGTCTAATTTTGTATTCTTTTTGCCATCTTATCTTAATCAGGACCTACTGCGCGGAGATTGCACACAATGTGTCCACGAGGAAGAGGAAAGAAATTGTTGAGAGAGCCGCCCAGCTTGATGTTGTTGTTACCAACAAGCTGGCCAGGCTACGCAGCCAGGAGGATGAATGAGCTCGGCTCTGAGCTATGTTTTTGTAGTGAGCGTTATTTTTTTGGCATTATAATGAGTTGTAACCAACATTTCAATACCGAGATCGGATTTTTTCTCTTGATTGTCAACAGTTAGCAAATGAACAAGGTGTTACATTTTTGTTCTAATATCATTTTGTGCTCATACCTGGTCTGTTCATCAACATTTCAATACTGAGATCGGAAATTCTACCGTTACTATTTATTGAAAAAAGGGTGCCCTAGCAATTTTTAAATTTAGTGGTCTACTTTTATTCAATAATATTCATAATATATGAAAATTATGTGTTTAATACATGAATTTTCTCGTGGAAATGCCACGCCTTGACCCAGAAGGTGGGACCATTATGAAAATAATTTGAGGGAGTTAAACTCCCGCTGAAACAGAATTATTTAAAGAAGACTTAGAAACTTCTGAATAATGTTTGCTGTTTAAAAAGCATGCATTCATCAAGTCTTGAAGACGTGTATGGAAAATGGAAGTTTAGGGTTCAGGGAAAATACATACACATATGTTTGTATGGAAAATGGAAGTTTAGGGTTCAGGGAAAATACATACACATATGTTTGTGTATAATATGAATTGAACGGGAAAATGCTAAATACACATATGTTTGTGTATAATATGAATTGAACGGGAAAATGCTAAATTCTTTATAAGGGTAGTAATTTTGGAGAAGTGAAAAATAAAAAAGGGAAATAAAAAAAGAATATCAGTATATATTAAAAGAGTATAGCCGGGCGGCTATACTATTCATCATAAAGAAGGGGGACGTTTAAGTGGCTAAAAAATTACACGTATAGCCGCGCGGCTATAATATTAATTTTAAAAAAAACACCAGTATCGCCGTGCGGCTGTACTCTTTGAATATATTATATTTAAACGTATAGCCGTTCAATAACCAAACTATGGACTATGGACGAAAGTAAGACATTCTCATTAAGCTATCATATTTCGCATACAAGTGTGTCTCTTGCCTGCTCTAGTATGGTGAAGAACAAAGGAATAATAGCATAAAGGAGGGACCAAAAAGAAGAACAAATACAAGCAAACAAGCCTACAGTCAGTTCGATAGTTTGCAGCTGAAATCGCAACTTTATGAGTGTCGTGGACTCGTGGCCTTGGGTAAAAGGCCTTGGGTAAACAACAATTCATCTGAAAGGAAAGCAAATCTGTACAGGATTTCCATTTCCGAAGCTCCTCTCATGGGCGTATAAAATTTTGATATGTTAACCTCATGCTTCCGCTATATCAATCAAAAGGTGTTTGATCAGTAACATGTCTATTACTCTGATCTGACGGTCAAGTTCAATGCTTCAAGAATTCTCACTTCTCTCACTTTGGTTCAGAACTTCATCCTCAGGCTTTGATTCAACTTCAAACTGCCTGCACAGAAAGTTAAGAGGATTGATACATAAGGTACCATCAAAAGTTAGAGTAATTCAATCTTTTTCTGTCTGCCATTAAAATGATGCAAGTGCAAAAAAATCTATGTCTACCATAATTCAGCAAAAAAAGCATGTGGCAGAAGCACAAAACTGGCAAAACTGGTGACAGCACCGACAAATGTTCAAATGTTCAACGCAACAACAAATGAACTAACAACCTTAGAAGGAATCAAGATGGTACCTCTCCCAGCTCTAGTCTTGTGCCCATGTCTATCAAAGCGTGCTGCTTCTTCTAGCTTTCTACAAGGCTCACATATGCGCACAGGCGAATCACCTTGCCCGCGTAAAAAACATTCTTTGCTGGGTGCAGCTGTTGCAAAACAAGCCCCCACACCTCCGGCAATGATGCTGAAATTCCACATTGCATATAATCAAGAATCAGAAAAAGACCCAGAGACTAGAAAGAAATATCACATTCATGACGACGACGACGACGAATTCATTTTGGGTTTGGGTTAGAAGACGCATCAAAACACCGTCGTTAGACTGTTTGATGCCGTCGACAAACCAACGACTAGTTCGGTGGGAGTCGGACAAGTTGTTTCCAACGATACGGAGGGAGATTTTTTATTTTTTATTTTTTTAAAAAGGGGCCGCCTAGCGCCTAGGCCGATTTTTCGAAATTTAACCATACGACGTCGGCTGGGGACTCAGTGCAGGTACATAATAACGCGAGGTCTAAGTGGGCCTTCACTTGGGCTGTTCTGTAATTCTGGGGAACCCCAGCAGTGTATAATGAATTGGACTTAGGTCCACATTTGTCATGGTGGGTCCTTTTTTTTATTTACTACGAGTACAGCCGCCCGGCTATACTATTTATTACTAAAAAAGAAGGGAGGACCCGCCTAGTGGCTAGGCGGGCTTAATTCACGATTCACAAATGGGTGCATCGCCAGATTTGCTTGTGTCTTGTATTCTTAAGCGTCCTCTTATTTTGTTTTTGGTGTGATGCATTGCCAGATTTGCTTCTGTTTTTGCTGCCAATTTGGTGTGTAGACTTCCTCTATGAGAGAGAAAGTTATACCTGAGTTCGTTTGAGCAGAGTTTTGTTTCTTTTTGTCTACTGTCAAACACCACAACAGTTATGGTTGCAAGAGCATGTAAATGAAAATTCACATCTAACACCACAACAGTGCCCATGGAGGCATATACCTCCAAGTCCAAGTCTTAAAATTGGTTATACTCGAACATTGTTGTGAAAAAGATGGTTTAGGTTAATTATGACAAGTCTAAGAACTAGAGAATTAAATAAGAAACAAAATACGGTAGTTCTAGCAGCTTAAACAAAAAACCTAAAGTAGCCATAAAATTTCTACACTGCATGCACTTCCCTAGACTCGAAGCGAAAAAATATAGTTTTTTCCATGTGTACGTACAATCATAAACCCTAGACATCACATACATAAAACAAACCCCCTAAGGTAGGAAATAAATAAAAAACATTATCGCCACACGGCTATACTCTTTAAATATATGTACAACCCAAATATTTGATTCCCATTTCACAAAGCTACAAACTGAAATCGTGAGCTCAAATTTTTCTTATCAAACTTTTGTCATATAATTATTTCAAATTCATTCAATTTAATATTTTCTAGTCTTTTTTTCTTCAGAAAATCTATTATTTTTGTAAAATCCAAGTTCATTATTTGAAAATTCCTTCATCCAAATAAAGCAACTTTTTGCTAGATAGCAATTTCGTCAAATCACATAAATTCTTGTGAAGCCACTAACAGTTCAAACTCAATCTCCTCTTTGACCTTGGATCACCCTCTCACCCCAATCCACCTAAAAAAAAAAAACAACAATCTTTGACTCCTTTATGCTTGAAGATGGTGTACATCAGTACATCATTTGAACATGCTATATGGGATCACCTGGTCTTTAATGGACACCACAGAACGACATGTTTTATGACTGTAAAACTTCTGTGACAGTTCTTAAGGACCTAAACTCATTACATTACAGCATCCTCTATGGGCTGAAATTACTCTCTGCAATATTAGAGATGCAAAACATGCAAAAATGGTTAGGTAAAGAAAATTGTTTGAATGCACAAGTGGCAGTCTTTTCATCCAAGTATCTTTGGTTAAAATCTTCACTAGCTCAACTGGTCTGCCAAAACCCACTCAAACCATTTTTGATCTCCTTTCATAGATCCTAGTCTCTTTCTGCGGTAAGACAACATCTCTTCCTTTTGTTCAGCCTCAACATCCTCAAATGCAAACTGTTGATCAGGAACAAAAACCAAGTTTCTTCGATTTGCCTTGTAACCAATCCAGTTTTTGATGAATTTGCTCGCTAAGTAGCTTCAACCTATCTCCAGAAAGAAATTCATGCCTCAGTCCTTCAAAGTAACCCAGCTGGAACCAGGTTGTTTTACAGTTCCACTATGTTTCATCTTCTCTCGAATTCTGGTGACATCACTCCATCTATTTGCGGAAGCGTATAAATTAGATAGCATAACAAAAGCATCACTACAGTCCGGTTCTAAATCGTCAATGCTTTTTGCAGCTCTTTCAGCCACATCCAAATTGGAATGCATCTGACAAGCACTAAGTAGAGTTAGCCACACCATCTTATTGGCTTGCACAGGCATGTTTCTTATCAGCTCCTCTGCTTCCTCCAACTTACCACATCGTCCTAAGACATCCACCATACATGCATAGTGCTCAAGTTTCACCTCAACAGACTTCTGCTGAGAGAAAAACTCGAAAAAGCGTCTTGCTTTCTGCAACATCCCAGAATGGCTACATGCAGAAAGCAACCCTGTGAATGTAATTTCATCTGGATTGACACCTGCACGTATCATTTGGTTAAAGAGAGCCAAAGCCCACATGCCACAACCATGTTGTGCGCATCCAACTATCGTTGAGTTCCATGATACAATATTCTTGTCACCAATTCTCTTAAATATAGCAACTCCATCACTTATATTTCCACATTTGGTATGCAAGACAATAAGAGAATTGCCGACAAAGACATCATTTTCAAAACCTAGCTTAATAGCTGTTGTATGAATCTCCTTGCCCCTATCAAGATCTTCTAATCCACAACAGGAATTCAAAGCACTAGTGAAAGAAGACTGATTTGGAAGGGCACCCAATTTCATCATGTCCCTGAAAACCTTTAACGCTTCTTCGTGTTCACAATTCAAACCATATCCTGTTAAAAGAGCTGTCCATACTACCACATTTTTATGTAAACTCTCCTTGAAAACCTTGTAAGAATTCTCCATTTGCTTGCAGTTCGCATAGAGTGTTATAAGTGAAGCAGCTACAAACTCGTCAAAGCAGTACCCTAACTTGACAATCTGACCATGAATCTGAACACCTAAATGTAAACGCAACAAATTTGCACAAGCTGTCACCACAGACACAAATGTGGTCAAAGTGGGCTGTACACCAGAACCCATCATCTCCCAAAATAGTAGCAAAGCTTCATCCGTCCTCCCATTCTGGTCAAGCCCAGCAATCATCGAAGTCCACGAAATCACATTCTTACAAGGCATTAGCTTAAACAAGTTTTTCGCATCTTCCACTCGTCCATTACTGAAGTATCCATGAACCATTGAATTCCACACAGCAACATCCCTCACAGGCATCTCGCGGAACAAGCGCTCTGCCATCTGAACTTCACCAAACTGCAAGAACCCATTCATAATCGTCGTCCAAGAAACCACACTCTTTCCAGGCATTCCATCAAAAAGCTCCTTAGCCTTACTTAAATCCCCACAATCCAAACACCCTTTCATCATTGAATTCCAACACACTGTATCTTTCACAGGCATTTCGTAGAACAGTTTCAGAGCATCATCAAGCCTATGTTGTCTCGAATAGCCCGTAATCATCATGGTGTACAAACTGACACTCGGAAAAGGGATTTCATTGAAAACTAGACGAGCTTCGTTGAGTTTTTGGTTCCTTAAGTGATCAGAGAGCAGTGACTTGTAAGATGGGGTGGTCAATTTGGTGTAATTCATCAAACACACCAAGCATTTGGAGAAGCTTGCAAGGTTTTTGTGGAAATCAGAGAGTGAAATTGGAAAGTGTGAGATTCCAATGTTTTGAAAAATGGCGGGAACTCTCAGCATGACCGTTAATCCGTAACCGAATATAGGAAAAACAAAATTAACCGAAGAGAGAACGGCGGGGTGGTTTTAGAACATCAAGGCTGAAACGCAGCGTTTCATGTGTGCCCATCTGACAAAGAACATTACTTTTTTGATATCTTTGGAACAATTTTTATAGCACAAAGCTTAGAAGAAGAATGTACCACCAAAAAGAAGACTTAAAAATGTGAGGCAAGTAAGAATCTTGGCATTTCTTGCTTGGTTTGCCTTGTCTATGAAGCATCCATCTCCTTTACAACCCCACAAAGCCCTTTGGAACCAGCAGCCTTGGCAAGAAAAGAACCAAAACCTTCATGCCATGGCCAATTGCTTATATATAAGCTAAGACCATTTCTTGTGCTTAACACATTCTTGTGCTTAACACATGTAACAGGTACAACAACCCTTTTCTCACTTTTGGGTTCATCTAGCAGCTTTTGATCTTACAGAAATGGCCAACCAGCAGTTAAAGTCTGTTGCTGGCCTGCTTTTGCTTCTCAATTTCTGCATGTATGTCATTGTGTTGGGCATTGGAGGCTGGGCCATGAACAGAGCTATTGACCATGGATTCATTATTGGTAAACCTCTCTCTCTCTCTCTCTCTCTCTCTCTCTAGTTTAGACTTGACATCACATGCACTCTCCATTTCCTAATTCTGAGTGAGGCTTTGCAGGTCCTGGTTTTGATCTCCCAGCACATTTCTCACCCATTTACTTCCCAATGGGAAATGCTGCAACCGGGTTCTTTGTAACATTCGCTTTGCTCGCCGGAGTTGTTGGTGCTGCTTCAGCCATTTCTGGAATCAACCATATTCGATCTTGGACAGCTGATAGCTTGCCATCTGCAGCCGCAGCTGCTACTGTTGCCTGGACCCTCACTCTCCTTGCCATGGGGTACTTGGTTTGCCACCCATAATAGCAGATGTATACCATTCTTTGAACTATTTTTGCTTTGTAGTAAGCTAACCGTGTACCTAATTTGTGCAGCTTTGCTTGCAAGGAGATTGAGCTTCGTATCAGAAATGCCCGTCTGGTAAGATAAAAAGAAATTATTTTCTCTTAAAACCTTAATCTTCCAGAGATTTATATTGAAACACACTTGCTCTGTTTCGTGCAGAGAACAATGGAGGCATTCTTGATCATCCTTTCAGCTACGCAGCTTCTGTATATAGCAGCCATTCATAGTGCTGTACCAAGGAGATGAACTTGGAAGAGTTAAATGACTTTTGTGCATGTGTGCTGTCTGTGTGCATTGTTTTGTTTAATTTTCTTTTCTTTTCACCCCCATTTTATACTTTGTATAAACCTGCCCACGGTATGGTGTCAATAGTGTGATACGATTTGATTGATTTGTATTCGATTTATATAGCAATAATAAATGGTACCCCAAAAAAATACATGATCGTTTAGCAGTTTTTTTCTATGAAGCAAACGCAAGCCATATGCACCGAATCAATCTAAGGGGTAAAGAGAACATTTTTCAACTCCAATCGATAAGATAACTAAACCAGAAATGGATGCACATAAGTGTCTAATTGCCGACGAAAACCTAATGACTACAAGAGCTCAACATGCCAAATAAGCAACACAAATTTGTTGAAGAGAAAATTCATACATCAAACAGTTCCACCATGAGGTTATATATAAAGGAGGCTGCATTATAACCTGGCAGAAATTTTCTTATTATGTATAAGAAAAAGCCAGATCCATCACAACATTCAAGTGAAGTTCGATATTAAAAAAGTTTTTGCAAATTTATGTCACACCATTGGCCTACCAATGCAAAAAAGGAACTAAAATCGACATAGAAAACTATTCTGCAAAATTAACAAGAAAGAAAGGTTGTAAAAGCAGGAGATATACAGCCGCCTACCATTCCTGACACTATCACCACAAATCTAATCAGGCCTCTTGCCCATTATTCTTTAGGGAAAATTTATAAAGTTCTAATATCAAAATATCATAAAACTCTCTGAAGAGTCTTCACTTTCACAAGCTTAAAGAGTCCCACTGAAACCCTTCATGCTTCGTTCTGCATCAGACAAAACCTACAAAAATCAACCAACATTCAGTTTGAAAGGTACTAAAAACTTAAACTGTAGCATCAGTCAAGTCCATATAAAATTGTTAAGTAGGAAGGCAACGCACGTATCTCAATTCTGGCAGTGTGCAGTAAGATTGAATCTAAAGATGAGTATAGGTCCTTAAAGATAAAAGAAAAGTAGAAGCAGAAAAAATGGGCTCCTCAAAGAGCAAAATATGATACCCTGTTACTTTTAATTTCTAGTACAATCTCTACCAAGCATTTACAATCCATGAACAGTCTAAAGTCAAGGGAGATTAAACAAACTTTAGCAGAACCTTAACACAAGATAGGTCTTTTAACTCTAGGAATAGGGGAATGTGGATGTCAAGATATGACTCCTAGAACTCTTGTATTTCATATATCTATCCAATACCAATTCCTTCTCTGTGAGGCCAGGTTAAAACCTTAAGTACTGAATAAGTCCCTCTTATGAAGAAGCCTCAACAATTTCTCCTCTTTTAAACCAAAAACCAAAAATTATGACCCAAAGTACTGTTATATCCCTACTCTTCTTCTCTCTGCTTTGCTGCTCAACACCTGTAGTGTGACATTTCAACTAGATTTGTAAGTAAAGTTCCTTATAAATTCAGTAAAATAAACACATTATACAACACATCAAACACAATCCTCCATCCCCTATTTACATTTCATAGGCAATATAATAACCAAATAAAAACCTTCCATGAGAAAATAGTAACTGAGGAATTTCAGGACAAAGAATCTTAACAATTTCATTCCTTAGCTACTATTTTTCACTAAAACTGCTATCTACACAAGCATAAATCAGACACATACAAGACCTTAGTTGGAAAAGATCAAGAATTCAAAATTTCTGAAACACAATTAACAGTTATAACACAAAACAATTATGACATCCCTGTAACATCCTAAAGACTCTCACTTCCCTAGTGACCCAGTCTGCTCTATATACACATGGGGAAAAATTACATTTTGAGCAGTAAGTAATAAAGCAAAACTTGAGAAAAAAAAAAATATATATCCATAAATAAAAGGTAGAAAAATCCCAACCTGAACTTATCTACTGGAGCCTGTTATCACTTCCAGAATTCCACAGCAGCTAAACCAAGATGTTTTTCGTGGAACTGGTGGGGCCGGAGCTACCAGAGGCTGCATAAATTCCATCGAAGAAATTGCATTCAATTATCAAAGCAAAAGGAGATCTTACATCAAACTTTCAATGAAGAAAAGAATATGCAGGCAATACCTGCTTTTCAGAATATTCTGGACTATCAGGATTTTTGCTGGATTCAGCATCATTACTAACTTGAGCCCGAGAAGTACCTAATGATGGCAATACTTTACTCTCATTTTCTCTAGAAACAGATTCCACCGTACTTGAAGACGCCTTAGCAGTCTCATTCAGTAACGGAGATGTTCTATTCTCAATTTTTTTTGATACAGGATCTGTCAAAGTTACAGGAGTTCCAGTAGGCAACAATTTTTCTGCACCATTCTCCAATCCCGTTTTTACTACATCATTGCAGAACACTGAACTTTCAACCGGTGTACTCTCTGTAACTGAACTTGTATTCTTCACAGCTGGTGCACCTTCAGTAGTCTGAATCACTTCTGGTGGTGAAGAATCAATTGACCTTACCAAATCATTATGAGGTTTCTCCTCTGAAACTGAAGCATAGGAATCCTCCTCCTGCCTCCTCTCAACAACTCGAGACTCGTCATCTGAACTACTACTGCTTGAGCTTCTATCATCCCCATTATGTGATCCCTTTGCAGATTTCGTATGCTCAATAATCACATTTTTGCTTGCGGAATCCTGTTTCAATTCCCTCTGAATTCTAACACCGTCATCATTCTTCAATCCATCCTTCTGAACAGCCTCCACACCACTAGGTGCTCCCTTCCCGGACTTATCCTCAGAAACAACTGGTCGAACTGATGATGGGCCTCGCTCGCCCAGATCCTCATTGCTCTTCTTAAATGGATCCTGCTGGTTATGATGCTCCTGAAATGCAGTGGAGCCAACCTCACCACCATCACTTCCTTTCTCATCTTGGGAGGTCACTTCATTATTTCCTAACATGGTTTGATTCAATCACAAGAGTTTCAATCAAAATCAAGCCAAGCTAGGACTTCAACAAAAACCCATTAAGCCAATTTTAACCGAAGAAAAGAGAAAACCGAAAGTAACATTAGAGACGCACAGAGAATGAATTGAGAGATGCGTAATTAACACTCAAACACAATTGTTTCAACCAGAACAAAGCTAGACAAATGACATTAGCAAATACCCATTTACCCAAATGGGCAAAATTAACCAAAACCAAAGATTGACTCTCAATTCAATCAAAAAAATGGAACCAAACCAGAGCAAAACAAAAGAAACTAGCAAATACCCATTAGCCCAAATTGAAAAAATAACCAGAAGAAACACTGAAAAAGGTGCATGAGCAATTGAGTGCCATATGGGTAAGTGTGGGATTGATGCAATAAAATAAAGGACATGCATGAATAAACAAAGCACCTTGAGGATTGTCGTCGGTTGAGGATTTGCCATTGTGGGTTTCCTTTTCTTTCTTTTTCTTGGCAGCTTTTCTCTTCTTAGCACCTGATGGCATGATTATAGGCTCTCTCTCCTCTTGTTGGCGATGTACAAGAATGGGGTCTCTCGCAGATGGTAGATCCTGTTGGTCAGGACACCCCCGATTCTCTTCTGCCTCTGAAAGTGTCTTATGTGGGACTGTGAGGGCAACTGGATATATGTTTTTCAAAAACAAAACAAAATTTAACAACAAAAACAAAAAAGTAAAAACCTTGAAATGGTAACAATGGAAGGACTTGGAAGGGGATGAGAACTTTCTCCTCTATTGGGATTTCCGAATGAATTGTTGTGCAAAGGAGGCGAGGCTGTCTCCCTCTGTTTTGTTTATCAAGATTCTGTGTGTTTGGTTTGGCTAATTTTATTTGTTTTTCTTTATTTTTGGTAAATAAAAAAACTAATTTCTTTGTTTATTTTTTTGGGTACTAAAAATTGGAGAAAGATGTCCGAGTCTGAGGGCCTAATTTCAATGCAAGTGTCATTTTGTGAAGGGTGGGATCCTGATGTGGATTTTTCAAAAAATTTTGAAATTTGGAATGTTTGTGCAGAGTGGGAAGAAAAATAACCAAAATATTTTGGGGTTGGGTGGGTCATTTCTTGGAAATGTGGCTACAAGTAGAACAAAGGGGTGTGTGTGGTGTGCAATTTTTTACATGTTTTTTTTTTTTGGTATTAAAATTTAGGGTTCCAAATTCCAATTGACAATGTGTCGTGTTTAATTTTGTGTTATTGTTGGACGGACCTAATGAATTTTTTTCTTTCTTTTTCTTGGGGGTGTTTGGTTGGATTAGGGATGTACATACTAATAATGGATCTGGGCTGCATGTGATTCTCTGCGAGCCTGTGACTGTCATTATTATTTTATGGTTGGAACTTGGAGGTAAAGTTGGCTCAAATGTGGTGTGATTTGGAAATTTTGATATGATTATTTTTCCTACTAATTAGGGCAGACTCCCTTTATAGAGAAAAACTTATATGAAATGGAGATAAAATTATTTTGTTATCTCGACCAATCACGTTATGCCAAATGGAAAAGTTATTACATGTGACATAGTATGATTGGCTGAGGATATCAAAACAATGTTATCCCTATTATACACAAGCGTTTCTCCCCTCCATGGTGTGTGTTAAGCATATTTTATGTGTATTGTTAAGTATTTAGAACCTGTTTTAGAGCGCAATGTCCACAAGTAAATATGTGCATACTTGAGAAGTTAGTTATGACTCTTATTAATTAGTCTTTAGTCTATTGGTAATTGTCTTCATTTAGTTAAAGGTTTCAAATTAGACTCTCATGAATAATATGACGGTGTATATTTGTTTAGAGCATGTTTTATTGTGAGTTTTTTGATCTGCTGTGAAAATAATTTATAGATATATTGTCGTTTGTTAAGAGTGGGAAAAAAGTAACAAGTTCACAACTTAGTCGAAACCAAATTAGGCAAGTGAGTGAACAAATAGGCTTTAAGCTTGTGAGAATGCAAAAGAATGCAGCCTATAGAGTGGAGACATCTAATGATCTAACCAAGTGAGTGAACAAATCGGCTTAACCTTCTTTTGCAATGGGCCACTTTTGCCCAAAGAGGACTGCTAGTGGAGCCATCTAATCTCCATTGTCAATGACAACAAGGCATATCAACGGAAAGAACAAATTAGAATAATTGAGATTGACCAAAAAGCCAAATGAAACACATACATACATCTCCCATCTCAATTCAAAATTTTAAAAA